ATGGATACAGTCTCAACCACAAGGTCAATTTTTATACATGTTAATTTACTTTAAAATAAACTCCAAATTAATTGGAATTTACCCAAACTTCTAAGCAGTAACATGACCTTCCGTGCTATTTGATTGAAGAGTTTTCTTATTTGAAGAGACACCGTATTCCTTCTGCACTTTATCACAATTGTTAAATTACCTGGGGAAAAGGGACTGCGTTCAGTGGATTTTGTTTTAAAAAAACTTTCTACTATTAGAGTGCCCGCCTTTCCGAATCATGAACACAACACACAGATTAGAAAGTTGAGTTGAAATTAGTTATTGATTTCCTGACGGCAGATCGGGTGTTCACGAGGTTGGAGCATATTACAGTATCTGTGACGTGCTCGGTGTTTAAATGATCTGACAGATCAACAAAGCTTTTTTGTCACTAAAGTCCACGCCTTCATCTGAACAAAATGAATCAATGCCAAATACATGTCATATTCTGTCCATGAACCATGCTGGATTGATCCCTTGAACCTCATTACAATACATATTATAACACATTACTGATTAAGAGTTTCGGCTGCTGGATTCCAAGATATATTATGGCTCAAAAGACGATTAGGAAGCTATGAAATATGGAACCATCTGCTCTGCATGAAATATCAGGTCAGCAATCAATAACGCTGGCATTACATTTTTTGTGGGTGTGTTTACTTTCCTTGATTTTCTCTCAAGGCTCCTCACTCACACTATGTGCAATTCCTCAGCAGAAACGGCTCTTTCTCTCAGCTTCCTGACAGCATCCCTCTATCAGCAGAGCCTGTGATTCGGATGGAGGAAACCAAAGGTGACTTTTCTATTGACTTTCCACGTCTCTGTGTCGGGAGAGCCCAGGGCCAAGCTTCTGTTCCAGCTCTGCCGATGTGCCCCAGATTAGGAATTCACCAAGTAACAAACTGCTCGCGTGTTAACTGCACTGCACCCAATCAACATTTTAACCCTCTAAGCACCCAGTGATTTAGATGACTCTGGTGATCCAGATCAGCTAAATTCTCACCAGTTTTTCCTCCTCTCCCTCTCCCAAAGGCACTTTCACTCTCTTTTATCTCTCACACTTATAACTGGCGTAATAAACAGGATATTTCACACTGCTACAATAGGAGCTGGGAGTTAAAGCACATTGTTGAGGGCCAGCTGGCCTGTATCAAACTGAATTATAACTAATCTCACAGGGTGAATGCCAAATCTGAATGACGAAAGTGTTCCTTTTCCCCCCAACAGTAATATCCCTCATTGCTAGTCCAGGCTGACATCTCAATAAAGTGTAGTGCTGCCCTTCTGATGCAATGTTAAACTAAGGTCCCATCTACTCATTCAGGTGGACTTTAAAGATCCCATGACATCAATTTGAAAAGAGAAGGAAGTTTCTCCACATGTCCTGGCCAATAATTCTCTAGATATTTCATTTGCTTCCTGCACAAATTGGCTGCTATATTTGCCTACAAATACAAAGTCACTACAGTTTATAATAAGTCCTGTGAAGTGCTTCAAGTTTCAACAACATAATAAGGCACCATATCAAATGCAAGGATTATTATTATCTCAGTGTAAGCATGTTCGAAAACAATTCTAACAAATAAAGAAGGAAATCTTTTGCATTCATTATTAACCTACGTGAATAGGTTTTCGTGTCTGACAAAGGTGAAAAATGATCACTGTTGAACATGCACTTAACTGTGTTGCTTTTGAGAACATTTGTTATTTGGATACCATAGCAAAACATATAATAAGGAACAAAATTCAGGGCAGGAAGTATTAAAGAAACAATGCATTCAATTCTGGAAAAAGAAGCATTCTCCAATTTACATTGTGTCAGGTTTCCTTTAAATGTTTTGGTTTCCTCTTCCCAGAGAAGTAAAGGCAACATTCTCTACTTGTTGATGAATTTACCAATCTTGGTGAGCGAGCTTCACTAGTTGTTATATATACTAATTAATGGATTTCACAACCCAAATGTTTGTTTAGAGACTCTGGAAATCCTTTAAATCTTTCCCTGGAAGGGTGATTGAGGATAGGACACTGGACTCATTTAAAACATAGCTTGGTGCTGAGATGGGAATATGGTAGGGCAGGTGCTCTGGAAGGAAAAGATCAAATGGCTTTTATCCCAACCAATTTTGTGAACTTATTATTTTATTTTTTTTGCGAGACAAGAGTTCTCAAATGATAGTCAGTGGTGGATCTAAAGAGGATTTTAGAAACAATGGCTCATGCAGAGGCTGGTGAGAATGTGGAATTCACGACCATTAGTTATGGTTGAAGCAGAAAGCATCAATGTAATTAAGAGAAAATGTGATGCAGGAGTGAGAAGGTAATAGAGGGGTACAGGAGAGGGGACTAGGAGGTGTGGGGTCTAGTGTGGAGTATAAACACCTGCACGGACTAGTTAGGCTGAACAGCCTGTTTCTGTGCCGTTTGTAACTCTATGTAACTTGTCCCTACACTTGATAATTTGGGACTTTTCAGTTATTGTGTTAAGAGGCTATAAAAATTCAAGTGGTTCGTTAAATGATGAACTCTGAGTCACAAGCACAGGCTGGATTCCAAATTACTTTAAAAAATACTTGCAAAACTGTTTGAAACTCTGCATATCCATTTTACAGTATTGAGCCAGGCAATGCAGGAAACAAAACACTGAAATTAGTAGGTGATGATGAATAACTAGTTGGGGAATCAGCAGGAGAAATTCAGTACGTAATGGGTTAAGGTAATTTGAGTCAAAAACATCTATGTAAAGAAGGGGCAATGTTGGATGCAAACTGACTAACATCATTTTGCCTACAAAATATACATCACTACGCTTTGAACCAGCCTCCTGATGAGAAAGGCTAAATATCAAATGTAAGGATTATTATTACTCTTAATAACATCCTGTGGAGGTTAGAAGTGACACATCCTCAAAGATAGTTCCATATCTATTTTACCAGCAATGAAGGAAACCCCCCACTGACTCAACAAACAATGGAGTCAATCATTAGTAACGAGAATTGTGTGAATTAAATTACTGATAAAAAATACAGAACAAATAACATGAAAGACAGTAATCTGGAGCATTTAACAATAGATAGCAAATCTTCATGGCACATCATAAATAAGGAATTGTAAGGAATGGGTTAAATCCAAGCAGCGCTCAATAGCTCTCGCTAGGTTCATGCCCTTCAGAAGATCAGCAGATTGACTGTTTGCACAGGAAACCATAGTGTTCACAAGTCTCCGACTCCATTGCACATCAATCATATAAGCTACACGAGCTTATTGGTAAGAGACAGAGAAAGAGCTGCCTCCACAGGACAGGTGCTTTGCACCCATGACGCAATCTCATCCAGACTAAGAGGCATGGAGACATGGTAACTTATGGCAACCGTGGACCAATTGCTGGAGCAGATGTAGTGGTGCTGCCATGGCATTTAGCTTTTCTCCATGGTAGCAGCTCGGGCACAATTTGTTATAAGATGTGTACAGAGGGAGGGGATGAAAGATCTTCTCTGCTCTTCTTTTCCAGGTATTAGATTAGGGGTGGACTTCTTTTCCATGTAACAACATTCGCTTTCATTTACAATCATATTTGCAAAGCTTCAAGAGGTTGATGTTGAACTGAAAGGCTCTGCAAACCACACAGTCATTACATTCTACAATGAATCCTGTGAAGCACTTCAGGACGTCACTTCTGATGTGAAAGGCATTTGCTCTCAAGGACTATTTGTACAAATGCAAGGATTATATATAAATGCAAATTATTATTACTATGTTCATGAAATAGGGAGAGGATTCTGCCCTAGATTCTCAAGCAATTCCACATTCGTTGCACATCAGACTGGCTTTGTGTCTAAAACTATGAGGGGTTTTGAGAGATCCTATTCTTAGAACACAAACCTTCCGGAAACTGCCTTTACTTCCTAAGCAGAACTTTGCTTATGTTCACAGCATCAATGGTTGGTCTTATGGTCTTGCAGTGAGCAAGATTTATTCGTTTTATTAATTAATAAATTTATTAAGTTTATTCGGTGTATAAACACTGGCATGGCTAGTTGGGCTGAATGGCTGTTTCTGTGCTCTTATCTTTTATGTAATTCTACCCTCGACAAATATTAGTTTCGGGTTGTTTTCAAACATGTGACTGAATGAGTCAAAAAACGTTCTCGTGTCACTTGCTGATGATATCATCATGGCAAAAATGACCTCTGTTCATCTGATTTATCCTGTCTTTTCCCCTTTTACCTTCTCTCCCCCCCCCCTCTATTTACCCTGTCTTCCCTCCCCCCCCACCCCCAGTTTACCCCTTCTTAAACCCCCCCCCACCACCACCACCACTAACATTACGATCGCTGAACTTCACTTGATACTGTGCCTTACCCAGCGATTTACTGCGAGGAACAAGTCGCACTTGCCGCTCCCTCCCTTCCCTCCCCCTGACCATTTTCCCCCCTGCTCGGGTCCTGACCCAACTGTCCAGCGCCTTGGGACGTCCTCCCGACGTGAAAGGCGCTCTATAAATGGAATCTTGTTGTTGTTGTTGTTGCTGGGATAAGCACCGTGTGTCTGCACCGTGATCTGTAAGCCATTCGCACCTGCAATCTTAAATGAAGGTGGTGCCCCTTTAACATCAGCGGCATATCTGCCTGGAGGTTGGGGAGAGGGGGAGAAAGAGCCCGAGCCGTTTGAGACCAGGAGCCACCCTAATCCTGCAAGCGGCATTGTCAACTAATTTCCCTGGTGCGGCTCTGACGAGAATGAAAGAAGACGGGTTGAAGATCACGGCTTACACGACAACATTAAAGCATCTCACAAAGCTGAAGTATTTTTGTCACAGCTCACAATTACTTTCAAGATGCAAAGCAGCTGACCACATATTACGCTGTAATATTAACATGGCACAATCCCCCCGCCCCCCCACCTCCTCCCCTCACAGGCAGCAGAAACACAAGGATGCACAAGATTACAAACATGCCAGCAGTATGTACCTGTAAGAGATCCAGTCAGAGAGATGCTTAGAACTCATGTTTCACAGCACAAAGGCCTGTAGCATGGCACAGTGATCCCGAGATCAGCCTCGGGAAGGGGATCTGCCACAATCCACGCATTATCCAGCAGTGCCCCAAACCTTCAACTTACGAGCTAACCTCAGGTGCTCAGACACAGGCAGGATTCATTAAACCACACCTACAGAAGCAATTCCACACTCATGCACAGACACAGACATGCTCTCGCTCTCTCTCTTTCTCCCTCTCTCTGTCCTCCGAAAACCATCAGCTCAGGCTGCTGCTCACGCACTGAGTGACAAAACAGGTAGCGAGGAAGGTTCTTTGTAGACGATGCGAGAGGCAGCTCAGCTTTGAAGCCTGAACCTTTCAAGATAAATGGTTGTTGCCAGTCCCAAAAAATATGTTCCTTTGTCGTGTCACATCATTAATTAATTCAAGTGCATCATTCATTAGCACAGGAGCTGGGAGGACTACATGCAGTATTAATAAACACCCTTTGATGCACACAGATGTTTTATATTTATGGATAAGAATAAGCTGCAATAAGGAAGTCTATGACTTCATTGCAAACAATTTCTCATTCAGAGCTCTTGCTTATTTTGCCACAGTAAACATTCCAAATAATTAGTCACAACAACTCGCAGATGAAGTTGAACGCATGAAGAAAAATTCCCTCAAGAATCTTGTTTTTTTTACGATATTATACAATAATAATCTTGCATTTGATATAGCGCCTTTCATGTCGGGAGAAAGTCTCAAAACACTTCACTGTATTTCACTGTAAATTGTAGCGACTGTGTATTTTGTGGGTGAAATTTTGCGCACTGTGGTGTCCCACAAATAGCCATGAAGTGAATGATCAATTTTATCTGATAGATTGTTGACCAGGACATTGGGGGGAAAAAAATCCCTTCTCTTTTTAAGAATAATAATAATCCTTGCATTTGATATAGCGCTTTTCACGTCGGGAGGACGTCCCAAAGCGCTTCACAGAACACACTGTAAAGTGAATTGACTGTATATTTGTGGGCGAACGCGGCAGCCAATTGCGCACAGCAATGTCCCACAAACAGTCGTAGATTGAAAATTACCAATTTATTATTGCTAATTTATTATTTAAATAATGCTATGGGATCTTCAACATTTACCTGAACAGAAAGATGGGCCCTCCGTTTAACGTCTCATCCAAAAAACGATACCGACAACGATTCAGAACTCCCCAGAACTGTATGAGCCTCAGCCTAGCCTGCAAGTTTAAAGTCCCGATGGAGGGGCTTGAACCCACAATCTTCTGATTCAGAAGCTAGAGTGATACCAACTGATCCAAGCTGATACACTTACAGAGAGGGGTTTATTATAGGGCCAAACCTAATGTAAAATGAGGTCAAGATAGTTTCAAAGAAAATGAAGAGGGAGGAGTGGGGGAAAGGGGGCCAAAAAAAACACATACACAGGCAATGATTTTTTAAGGATCCTAAACAGTCTCTGATCACTGAGTGGTACGTTTAGTACGCTCTGTGGCTATTCCTCAAATTAATTCATTGTCCTATTGCAAAGTAATAGACAAACATCACGAATCATGTGCAAGCACTTAGACATGAGCTTTTAAGTCTCTTCCACTTTGGAGGGATTTTGTACGTAACTCTACCCATTCAGATTTCACACATCGTACTCAGTGACCTCTTGACTTACATTGAGCTTTTCACGGTCAAAGGGCACCATTAACAAGATGGGGATCACTGAGCAAGGAGAGGAGGGTTGAATTTGTGGGTATTGATCAAAGTCGCTGAAGTAAACCACATTCATTTTTAAATGGATTTTGAAGGCGTAAGGCAAAGGGATTTGGGGAGAGAGTTCGAAAGAGAAAGAGAGAATAGTGGCTGAAGGCTCAGCCATCGTCACAATACAATCATATAGCGCCTTTCATATCAGGAGGAGGGCATCACAAAGAGATCAGTGGGACGCAGGGAGCAAGGGAAGCGCAGTTAATCAGAGTTGGCTAACGGTTTTTCAAAATTCATCATGCTTACATACGAGTCTATGACTTAACGCAAGTTTTGACTCTGACGTGCAACCCCTTCTCCCGTGCACACATTCACCAACTTAGATTCCTTATAACCTCCATCAGTGATGGTAGTGGGGAGGGGGCGGGGAGAAGGAAAATCAGAAGGTTCTCAAATCAATGCTAATTGGCAGATGGTTATAGAGAGATATTCGCACATTGTTTCAGGAAAGAGGGTAAGGAGGAGGGCAGAGAGAGAGAGAAAAAGAGAGAGGAAGAATTCATATTACTGCTGAAAAACATTGACGACCAAATTTAACTTGGGAATGGTGATACCATTTACCATTTTACTCAGAAAAAAACAGTGCCAGTGACATTCCCTTATCAGATTGCCAGTACTGACCTTGAAATCATTCTATTTCACACATGCTGAACTAATTCCCAGGAGCTGCCTAGTATCCATGTATAGATTTATCTTCCCAATCATTTTCATGGTATTAAATTCCTGTTAAGTGCAAATGGTTTCCTTTACAACTGCATCTGAGATGCACCCAGTGACCCAAGATGACGTGTCAGCCTGTTACTTGGCAGTGTTATTTTGCCTATAAAATTTTCTTGTTCCAACGGAATAGCAAAGATGATAACTCTTTCAAGGCGGCAGTACTCAGTTCTCAAGTAAAACTCCCTGAAGTTTCGGCGGTGCCCACAACATTTCTCAGTGATTTGAGGGTCTATTTATAACATAAACCTTGCATTTTTGATGTAGTACCTTTCATGTCGTCAAGACGACTCAATGCACTTCACAGGATATACTGTAAAGTGCATTGACTATGTATTTTGTGAGTGAAACAGTGCAACATCCCAAAAACAGCCATGGAGTGAGTAATCAATTTTATTTGGGGATCGTTAGTCAGGGCACTCTTTTCGAATAGCTCCGTGGGATCTTTAACGTCCACCGTGACAGTCGTGATATCGGTTTAACGTCTCATGGCTGAAGATTTTTTTCAAAACAAACCTTACTTTATTACCAAGTTTGATGGATAGTGTTGCTGGAGAATACAACACTTTCCCATCCCAGTCTTCTGCATCGGTATCAAGCACTCCCAGATCAGGGGATAAGTGATTAGATGCAGAGTAAAAGCCGACTGTTCTTCGCCCAGACAACGGACCTCAGGCTAAGCTGCAGGGGGCACTCTGTGACATTTTTAACCATCGGAGGGTGCATTTTCCATTTTTTACACCAGCTGTTCCTGAGAAAGCAAATCGATATTGATTTCAGGAGTTTGATGCTTTGATGCCACGCTCACCCCAATGAGACTGAACGGAGGTCTCAGAGATGAACAACCGTGTCCCTTACGTGCAAGTTCCTCAAAGCAATGCAGCCTTTGTTTGACTTCACTTACTTCTCTTAAAACAAATTTAGGAGTTTTACTAGAATTTTATTGATTATCGATAATTTCTGGATCGCCTTAAAGTGAACAAAAAGAAACACAATAATTATATTTGATATGCTGCTTTAAAGAGCATCATGCAATCAATTAGTTTTTGAAATAATGTAGGCAAATAATGTAGGCAAAAATAGTCGTTAGTCCACATCACCACTGTCCCTGAGAATTTAAGCTGTTCTATTCTTTTTTGTGAATTTAGATGACTGATGCATTTTGACTGAGGTCCTAAAGAATGAAACTTCCACAGCAGAAATAAACCAAGAACTAATAATAATAATCCTTGCATTTGATACAGTTATAGCACCTTATGACTTGAGTCTTTAGGTGACATGACACCTGAAATACGGCAGTTATTCCATGATTATTCAGTAAGGAATATTACAAGGTGGGAGGAAGGAGGGAAGAGTGAAAGAAAAGAATAACAGTCCAAGGTCTGTCTAGTAAACAGACTGTAAAGGTTACACAGCGTTCCTGGTACATAAAAAACATGCTGGATGGTAATTATCCAGTCTAACATTTGTGGTAATCAGTGTTATTTTACCCATTACCACAATCTCAAGAGGGACTGACACATTTGAGTCCAATTTCAATGCCTGACATTACACATTGCCTGAGAATTTCAGTTAAACAGTTTAAAAGTGAACTCAGAACACATCTGTCCTGCAGTTCAGTGGTTAGAGCACTCATCTCACAAGCGAGAGACCTGGGTTCTAATCCCGGCAGGGCGAAATGTTGGGCAAGTTTCCTTACTCCACACACCTCTGTTTACTGAGCAATAAGTAGGAACTTAGTCGATTGGCGGATCGCTTTTCCGGGGATAATAATCGCTCAACAAAAATAATTATAATAATTTGGTCACTCAATCCACGACTGCTTGTGGGACACTGCTATGAGCAATTGGCTGCCGCGTTTCGCCAACAAATATATAGTAAATTAACTTCAAAGTATATTCTGTGAAGCGCTTTGAGACATCCTCCCGACGTGAAAAGCGCTATATCAAATGCAAGGATTATTATTATTATCTAGAAGACATGAAAAGCGCTACATCAAATGCAAGAATTATTATTATCTCTTCACACAATGGGTTGAGAGAATGAGGAATGCTCACAGGAGGCATGGATGCAGAAAAGTTTGAAGTGTTTGAGAGGAAAGGTAAGTAGATAGTTAGCTACTTGGGAAATAAAGAGTAATAAGGGATACGAAGAAAAGGTATTAGAAAGATAAAGAGCTCAGATACAAGCTAATAAAATTGCAGAGTAGGTTTGATGGACCATCAGGTTCTTACAATGCCCACACTTGTCCATATGCAATGCTCTCACACAAAACTACAGCGCTATTTCTCAGAGTAATAGTAACGGATTGATTTTTCGCCTTGTACTGAGTAAACCCTTTAGTGGTGAATCAACATTACTCATAAAATGATAGGATCCCCCAAGGAACTGCAGATTTCAGTCCGTTCTGTATTAAAGGTTGTAACAAATCAACGAGTCAGTCTGAGTAAACAAAACGTGTTGGCCATCTGTTCACATGGGCCTGTGTAACGCGGCTGTCATTCAGACTCCGTGGATTATAGTGAATATATTGAACTGCCCCAGGAGCAGCATGATAACACAATTCTCTCTGACTGACAGCAAGCCTTGCACAGGGCCAATAGGAACAGCCATTAAGAGCGACAAAGTGAAATTTGCTGTTGCATCTGATCCAACTATAGCTTCTCCACATCCTCCGCAAAAGCCCGACTATTTCCATCGT